CCTTTGGGGGGTGGCGGGGGGGGGGCTTTTCCCGGGCCTGCTTCCCCCCGGATTTGGAGTGTCCGTTATCCTGCTTGCTTTTGGTGAATCTGTCCTCCAGCGCTGTCTTTCGCCCCCTTTCTGCTCTCCCTGCCCTCACCCTCTCCCAGCCTAGAGGACTGGGGTGCTGGGTGTGGACATCCGAGAGGGACCCTTTGGGTGAGCAGGTAGTGGGGGGGGGGGACGGAGACTGGAGGAGGGGTTTTGAGGAGCAGGATGGTTCTGGGAATTAGGGTTGGGGGAGACTCGGGAAGGGTAGGGAAATGGACTGTTTTGAACCAGAGACATTTATTAAAATCTCCTGGGGACCAAGGAACTATGTACAAAAACAAACCTACCAACCACCAAAAACTAAGCAAATGAAAACAAACTAAAACAGAACAAAAGCAAATAAAATATGCTTTAGAAATTTAACTCCAGGGAGCCGCATTCTGCAGCTTCAATTCCCCCCTAAGGAAGAGAGAAAAGAGCACCACCATTATTACCACTGACCCAGCCCTACACACATGAACTGAGAAAAACAAAACCAAACGAACTGCAAGGTGAGATCCTGGGCAGCTAAGCTAGTTCTGTGTGTTTGATAATTTTCCCCTCTCAGTCTCACCTCTTCCCCACCCACGTCCTCTGATTATTTTCTGCGTTCCAAAGAGACTGCATGGCTGCTCGCCCTTGCCAGAAAGTGAGCGGGGAACGGCTGAAAGGGGCGGGGGCGGGACTGCCTGTTTAAGTGGAATCCAAGTTTCCCATTGACCTGGCCTATATTCCTGTGGCCTGGGCCCACTGGGGTGGGGTGGGGGTTAGGGGGAGAGAGGTAGTACTTGAGCTGACTAACAGGCAGAATTTATGGAGCTCCTAAAGAAATTATTTTATTCTAGGAGAATAAAACAATTTCAACAAGTTTTTTTTTTTAATTTTTGCTCTTATATCTAACACCTAGAAACAGATGGTTTCAAAATCAGCTTCCCCGCCACTCCCCCTAGAACTTGCTTGCCCTTTCATTTGTTTTTCTGAGTGTGGTTTATTTTAAACTACCTACTGAATTTTATTTCTTACTGATTCAAATAGACTAATGGGGTGGAAGACACTAGGAGAGATACTCTGTTTCTTTTACTCCACAGAACAAGACTCATCTAACTCTTCTAGGTCCCCTTTCCGTCTCTCTTGGAGAACATGAAATGGTTGAAATAGTGAGAAGTTTCTGCTTTCATTTGGAGCAGGACTTGGCTGTGAGGAAAATCAACTAAATCCCAAATGAGAGGAAGACAGATTTAAAGTCCTCCATTTGTTTCAAAAGGGTCTGCATGTTGAGGGGGAAAGCAGAACAACTGTGTTTCATTATTATTATTATTCAAAAGTAATTTATTGCTGGGGATAAATGTTGGGTAGCAAGAACTTTAATTTGCACTACCAGTCTCCCAAATAGAAAACCATGTATAGTATTTCATAGTTATAATCAAGGTACTTTATGAACTGCTGATGGATTAAAAAATGAGAAAGACAGTTGAAGGTGGTGAGGTAAAATGCTCGCTTGGTGCACAAGATACTCTTTTGATCTCATGTGGGGATGGTTTATTACCATCCTTTAATAAGAACTAAAAAATTGAAAACAGATGAGAAAAGAAAAAAAAAAAAAAAAAAGCCCTGCCATTTAATAAGACTGAAATCATGCATGATCTGAAGAGTGCAGAAAGAAACACAATTAGGTCTCACTCTGTTTAGGCATTATTTATTTAATTATGTTGTATATCATTGTTTGCAGCGCAAACATTCTATGCATTTGAAACTGAGCACTAAACTGGGCTAGCTTTCTGATAGACCGTTTTGTGGATAGTGTGATTTCACAGTCTACTGCCTGTTTTCACCGAAAACACAGCATTCTTGTCATATTCTTGTATTTAGAGGAAAAGTAAAAAAAGGAAGATTATTGTAAATATTTTCTTTAATACACACACTCACACAGTGGTTACAGACTGCCAGTGTTATTCCTGAAATGTCTCATGGATTGATCTACCTGTCCATGTATGTCTGCTGAGCTTTCTCCTTGGTTATGTCTTTGCTCTATTACCGTTTCCCCTCCCCACTTCTATCAGAACCATTTCTGTGCGCCAAAATACAACAGGGGGATGTGTCCCAGTACATTTACAAATAAAACATAACTGAAAGAAGAGCAGTTTTATGATTTGGGTGCATTTCTGTGTCTATACTAGGCCAAGTCCTGGTAGAGCCGGTCAGCAAATGAGACTCAATTCAACCAAAAATAGAGGGGAGGATGTTAAAAGGGAGATGGAAAGAGGGGAAAGGGTGAGAATGATGTATTTTTCTGCTGAATCAGAATTCACTTTCAGACAACTCATGTGAAAAGTGGTGCTCTGAATAAAATGAATTCTATATTAGTTGCCTGTGTTTATCAAAGTTTTTTGTTTTGTTTTTTAACTGTAGAAATTCTTAAACCACAAGCCCTCACTTCAGAGTGATGGAAGCAAATAAATAACCAAGCACCCCCAAAATATTAAAGTCAAGGTTCAGGGTCAGAGGCATTTGGAGGTTTATATGTTTTGTTCTAGCCTAAAAACATTTCTTTAAAAATGTTGTAATTAAATGACTTTTTTTTTTTGAAATTAATAAATATAAAACCCGTCTACTAATCTGTCCCAGCCCCATGACAAATGCCTCTTGTTCATTTGAACATTCAGTGTGCCACCTACTGCTCCAGAGGAACCAGAGATTCTTTACTTTTTGGTGACCTGGGACTAGATCAGATGCCAAATGTACAAAGTTTCTTAATAGCTGGGATTATATCTTCTGAAGTCATCCTACCTTAGCCAAATCTTTTTAATTTCACCGGCAAATCTGTGAAACAAAACACTTGATGTTCAAAAAAGAATAGTACATTTAAAAAGCTGTGATTTTAAAGTTGTTAATGTTTTAAAAAAGCACTTAGAGGTATTTTTAAAAATAGATCTTTCCATCAAAATTGATTTTTTTCTGTTGTTATTGACTTGGAATGTCATCAAAGTTTTTAATAAAATGCATTTGTAAAAAAACACACGTTATTTTATAGAAAAATATGACCGATTTCATTGTCGGAGAACCAGGAATGAACAGATGAAAAGACTTACATAGGCTGCTTTAAATAATCTGCCCCCAACGAAATGTTGCAAATACATTTGTATTATATAATGATGACCAATGTATGTAATAAGAATTTAAGCATTTGTTTTGTATTAAGTAAAACCCTTACCAAATGAAAAGAAGATATTATGTTAATAAAACAGATTATGAAAATACATGCTTTGCAGAGTTTCCTATTTTCTGTAGTAGGAAACTGTGCAAAACAAGAGATGCTTTGCTATCTGGTGGGTGAATCTGTGTACCGCTGGCAGGAATTAGACGACTACCTTAAGACAACTTTAACTGTCAGTTTGTGAACAAACAAACAAGCAAACAGATGTCCTCCTGAAGAAAATGCAAAGGCTTGATGTTCATCGGTAGTTGGCCTTGCAAAGTTTTCTGGTTCTGAAGAGCGGAATTTTACTCTACGCAGATTCAAGTCACCAGGCTGTAGGTAGAAATACTAAGATGTGTGGCTCCGTTTTTTTTGTGTTGTTTTTTTTTTGGTGTGTGTTTTTTTTAAAAAAGAACAATCTCAAAATAAGTTGGACAGAGTGGGATTGTTTTCCGTTTGCATCTCAGCTTCTCAGGAAATCCAGGCTGTGGTGGAGTAGGAAAGGCAAAAAAAAAGATAAGCATAAAATGCATCTGCCACATTTGTGCCATCCATTCGTTTTAAATTTTCTCTCTCCCCCAGTCCTGGCTCCAGGTCCTGCTCCTTCTGTAGGTCTAAGAAAGGATGTCCTCAAGACACATCAACTAACTTCTGAATAGATTTTGGTTTAATGCGTGTTCTGAAATTGCTCTCAATTTCGATTACACTCCCATAAATAAACCGTAGGCACCCACTGCCCTGATTGTATCGATTTTTACTATGTTGTGAAAAACTACTTGGGTCCTGTTCTTACAAGTGGCCAGGCCTAGAGAGGACAGGGCGCCCTCACCCAGGGCGCCTGAGCAGCTCCCACCCGCCCGTGACCCCAGGCTCTGCGCCCCAGCCTCTCCCACTAGCCCTGCGTGGAAGCATTCCTGCTCCATCTTTCACATGGACGAGCTTTTAGAGTCTAGTCCGTGAAGTTGGAATTACGACTTCTGACCCTGACTAAAAGCTGCATTCACCACCCCATTCAAAGGGCCTTGGTGGCCGGCGAGACTGTAAAGGTGATGACAATTATTAATTGGTATGGTTCTGTTTATCGGTGTTATTGCCCAAGTAGTCTTAGCCCCACGATGAGAGCCATTCAGTCCTTGCGGGCGGTTTCAAAGAGACCGCAAGCTTAATTGATTTTTAAAAAATAGCAGTCAAATTCTAATTCTCATGGGGGGTGGGTACTCTTTCCACCTGCGAGATAAGCCTTGTCTCAATAATTACGTTATTTAATATTTGATCACACCTT